AAGAGTCTGGACACCAGGCGTGTCCACACACAGGGGCTCCAATAAGAGTCTGGACACCAGGTGTGTCCACACACAGGGCTCCAATAAGAGTCTGGACACCAGGTGTGTCCACACACAGGGGCTCCAATAAGAGTGTGGACACCAGGCGTGTCCACACACAGGGGCTCCAATAAGAGTCTGGACACCAGGTGTGTCCACACACAGGGGCTCCAATAAGAGTCTGGACACCAGGTGTGTCCACACACAGGGGCTCCATTTCAAAGCTCAACTGTTGTTGAGCAACAGTTCTACATTTGCAGGGGATGGGAGCGCCGTTCGTACCTCGTCCTCGCAGTAGCGGCGGATCACCTCCAGGGCGGACTCAGTTATCAGAGGAGCCTCCAGCACCAGCTTTGTGAAGAGCCTGGGAGAGGAGGAGGAGAGCCGAGATTCAGACAGCAGCAGCTGCCGCGGGCTCGGGCTCGGGCTCGGCCCTGGGAGCCGAGCCTACTGGGCTGGGAGACGGCCGGGGAAAACCAGACTGCTGCTACAAGTCACGTCAAATGAACCAGTAGGTGGCGCTCTTCCCTCTAAACCATTCCCAAATTCCCAAACCAGCGCCCCCGGATGGCGACCAGGAACCCTGAGCTCTCGGAGGGTCCATCCTTCGGATAACAGGACACTAAACTAAAATCCTGACCACCTGGGCGCACAAGATTCCCTACTGGCACTATTGGCAAGACAGGGGATATCAGTCCCAGTGTCCTGGCTCATTTCTACACTGTGTTTGTACAGCCTGCCCTCCCTAAAGTTCCCCTGCTGCAGCTGGTGAGGTGATCCCTCTCTCCTCCCCTGATCTGCTGTGCTGCAGGTGCAGAACAGCTGCCCCCAGTGGTGGGAGAAATGCCCCCCCCCCGTATGGACATGAAGTCCTCCCCTCCCCCTCACCCATCTCTCTGGTCTGGCTTCTCCTGCAGGCCGGACAGCAGCGTGATGAGGCAGTGGTCGTAGCCGTCCAGCAGGCCCTGCGGCCCCTGGCTCAGGTAGCTGTTGTACTCCTGGTAGAGCAGGGCGAAGGCCAGGTCGCTGCGGCCGCGGATGTCCTCCAGGGCGAAGGCCAGCACCTCGTCCTTCATCGCCCCGCCCAGCTGGGTCACCAGCCTGGACAGGAGCTTCACTCGCACCTGGGGCGGCGGGAGGGGGAAGGATCGGGAGAACGGCCGTGGTTAGAATGGCCAAACACTTCACCTGACTTGACCATACCCCCCCCCTGACCCCCTCCTCCCCAGGGGCTCACGTGTGACATTCCGGAGCGGGCGATGGCCTTCTCCGACTCCAGGATGCGCTTGATGGACGTGTGGGTCATCTTCTCAGCCTGGGCCTCCGACAGGGGCTGGATCACGTCCGCCAGCCGGAACACCTTCTTGCGGCCACCGGCCCCGGACGCCCTGCGGCGGCGAGAGGAGAGGTCAGTTCACAGGCAGGGCACCTACAACCACCTGGACACCCGGCGTGTCCACACACAGGGCTCCAATAAGAGTCTGGACACCAGGTCTGTTCACACACAGGGGTCCAACACACAGGGCTCCAATAAGAGTCTGGACACCAGGTGTGTCCACACACAGGGACTCCAGTAAGAGTGTGGACACCAGGAGTGTCCACACACAGGGGCTCCAATAAGAGTCTGGACACCAGGCGTGTCCACACACAGGGCTCCAATAAGAGTCTGGACACCAGGAGTGTCCACACACAGGGGCTCCAATAAGAGTCCGGACACCAGGCGTGTCCACACACAGGGCTCCAATAAGAGTCTGGACACCAGG